ATATATATATATATATATATACAGGGAGTGCAGAATTATTAGGCAAATGAGTATTTTGACCACATCATCCTCTTTATGCATGTTGTCTTACTCCAAGCTGTATAGGCTCGAAAAGCCTACTACCAATTAAGCATATTAGGTGATGTGCATCTCTGTAATGAGAAGGGGTGTGGTCTAATGACATCAACACCCTATATCAGGTGTGCATAATTATTAGGCAACTTCCTTTCCTTTGGCAAAATGGGTCAAAAGAAGGACTTGACAGGCTCAGAAAAGTCAAAATAGTGAGATATCTTGCAGAGGGATGCAGCACTCTTAAAATTGCAAAGCTTCTGAAGCGTGATCATCGAACAATCAGCGTTTCATTCAAAATAGTCAACAGGGTCGCAAGAAGCGTGTGGAAAAACCAAGGCGCAAAATAACTGCCCATGAACTGAGAAAAGTCAAGCGTGCAGCTGCCATGATGCCACTTGCCACCAGTTTGGCCATATTTCAGAGCTGCAACATCACTGGACTGCCCAAAAGCACAAGGTGTGCAATACTCAGAGACATGGCCAAGGTAAGAAAGGCTGAAAGGCGACCACCACTGAACAAGACACACAAGCTGAAACGTCAAGACTGGGCCAAGAAATATCTCAAGACTGATTTTTCTAAGGTTTTATGGACTGATGAAATGAGAATGAGTCTTGATGGGCCAGATGGATGGGCCCGTGGCTGGATTGGTAAAGGGCAGAGAGCTCCAGTCCGACTCAGACGCCAGCAAGGTGGAGGTGGAGTACTGGTTTGGGCTGGTATCATCAAAGTTGAGCTTGTGGGGCCTTTTCAGGTTGAGGATGGAGTCAAGCTCAACTCCCAGTCCTACTGCCAGTTCCTGGAAGACACCTTCTTCAAGCAGTGGTACATGAAGAAGTCTGCATCCTTCAAGAAAAACATGATTTTCATGCAGGACAATGCTCCATCACACGCGTCCAAGTACTCCACAGCGTGGCTGGCAAGAAAGGGTATAAAAGAAGAAAATCTAATGACATGGCCTCCTTGTTCACCTGATCTGAACCCCATTGAGAACCTGTGGTCATCATCAAATGTGAGATTTACAAGGAGGGAAAACAGTACACCTCTCTGAACAGTGTCTGAGAGGCTGTGGTTGCTGCTGCACGCAATGTTGATGGTGAACAGATCAAAACACTGACAGAATCCATGGATGGCAGGCTTTTGAGTGTCCTTGCAAAGAAAGGTGGCTATATTGGTCACTGATTTGTTTTTGTTTTGAATGTCAGAAATGTATATTTGTGAATGTTGAGATGTTATATTGGTTTCACTGGTAATAATAAATAATTGAAATGGGTATATATTTGTTTTTGTTAAGTTGCCTAATAATTATGCACAGTAATAGTCACCTGCACACACAGATATCCCCCTAACATAGCTATAACTAAAAACAAACTAAAAACTACTTCCAAAATATTCAGCTTTGATATTAATGAGTTTTTTGGGTTCATTGAGAACATGGTTGTTGTTCAATAATAAAATTAATCCTCAAAAATACAACTTGCCTAATAATTCTCCCTGTATATATATATATTTTTTTTTATTGTTACATTTCTTCTTCTAATTCAAAATATTAGTTCTTTCAGGGTAATTAAATTATACAGTAAAGCATACTCACACACAGACACAGACAATCTTACTGATGCACACAAATAGGCTCGTTGACAGACAATCTCAATGACACACACAGACAAGGTTATTGGCACACACACAAATTTAGTACAGACAAACTCTGATACACACACAAGCTTACTACAGACAAGCTCACTGTCACAAAGACACGTTCACTACAGACAAGCTCACTGATGCACACACACTCTCCCTACAGACAAGCCCATTGGCACACACATGCTCCCTGCAGAAGAACTCAATAACACACAGATTCACTACAGACAAGCTCACTGACACACACATGCTCACTACAGACAAGCTCACTGACACACTCATGCTTACTACAGATAAGCTCACTGTACACACATGCTCACCACAGACAGGCTCCGACACACCCATGCTACTTCCAGACAAACTCACTAACACACATATAAGCTCACTCACTAGCAGACACACACACACACAAACTCACTAGCAGGCGCACACACACAGAGGCTCTCTCACTAGCAGATGCGCACACACACACAGACAGAAGCTCGCTCACTCACTCACTAGCAGATGCATACACAGAGGCAGACAGTCACTGACACCGAGGCAAACATCCACACATACAGAGACAGGCAGACAGCCACACACACAAAGGCAGACACAAAGGCAGACTGTCAAACACACAGGCAGACAGCCACATACACAGGCAGACAGCCACACACTCACACACACACACAGGCAGACAGTCACACTCACAGACAGTCAGACAAACACACACACAAGCAGACAGTCACACACACACAGGCAGACAGCCACACACACACAGTCATACACAGGCAGACAGTCACACACACACAGTTACACAGGCAGACAGTCACACACACACAGCCACACAGTCACACACACAGGCAGACAGTCACACACAGGCAGACAGTCACACACACAGGCAGACCGTCACACACAGACAGTCACACACACACGGACAGTCACACACACAGGCAAACAGTCACACACACACACACGGGCAGACAGTCACACACACACGGGCAGACAGTCACACACACAGGAGTCAGACAGTCCACACACTCACAGGCAGTCACACTCACGAACGCCACGCAGACAGTCACACACTCACGGAGCAGTCACACTTCACAGGCGGTCACTCACGGACGGTCACACACACAGACAGTCACACACACACGCGAGGTTCACACACACTACGGTCACACACTCACGGACACACACACACACGGGCAGTCACGCACATACGGGCAGTTACACTCAGACAGTCCGCACACACGGGCAGTCACACACACGACGGTCACACACACACACAGACAGTCCACACACACACACAGGCAGTCACACACTCACAGTTGATCACACACACACACAGACAGTCACACACTGGACAGTCACACACTCACGGGCAGTCACACCCACGGGCAGTCACGCACACACAGACAGTCACGCACACACACAGGCAGTCGCTCACGGTCACACACTCACAGACGGTCACACATCACGCAGACAGTCACTCACAGGCAGTCACACACTCACAGACAGTCACACACTTACAGACAGTCACACACTCACAGGCAGTCACACACTCACACAGACAGTCACACACTCACAGACAGTCACACACTTACAGACAGTCACACACTCACAGGCAGTCACACACTCACACAGACAGTCACACACACACAGGAAGTCACACACTCACGGACAGTCACACACACACAGGTAGTCACACATTCACAGACAGTCACACACACACACAGGCAGTCACACACAGACACACTGACCTGCTTCTTACCTCCACATCACTGCAGATATCGACACTCTGAGGAGCGATGAACCCCTTGACTACTGGGTGTGCAGGCTTGACCTGTGGCCTGAGCTATCCCAATTTGCGATAGAACTTCTGGCCTGCCCCGCTTCAAGTGTCCTGTCAGAAAGGACCTTCAGTGCAGCAGGAGGTATTGTCACTGAGAAGAGAAGTCGCCTAGGTCAAAAAAGTCTAGATTACCTCACCTTTATTAAGATGAATGAGGGATGGATCCCGAAGGGACTGACACTGGGTGATACATTCGGTTAAAAAAGGCCTGATGAGATGAGCTGCCTTGGGCTAAAAATGGTCCACATGCTGCTGTATTTTAGCTCTGAATGCCGGTTGACTTACGTGACTTATCCGCCACCAACTAGGGTTCAAGCAGCCATGTTTTAGGGCACTTTCTGCCTGTGAAACAAACATCAATTCTTCTGGCCGCTGCTACAGCAGCGGCTGCAACAATACCGAATTTTTCAGGCATGTGTACATGCCTAATTTTTAGGCCCTCTGGTGCTGCACTGTGGCTTCAAAACTTTTTTCACTGTTATAGATTGAATAGCAATTAGTTGTCTGCAAGCGTCAGAAAGTCACCCCCTTGCCCGGCGTCTGACACCTGGCTTGTCTGAACTATTAGCCCGCCAGCTTTTACCATACAATCTGGTGGAGTCTGAGGCGTTCAAAAAATTTCTAGCTATTGGGACACCGCAGTGGTACCCGGCCAAAATTTCTTTGCGCAAAAGGCAATCCCCAACCTGTACTCGATTGTGCAAAAGGAAGTAATGGCATGTCTGGCACACAGTGTTGGGGCAAGGGTCCATCTGACCACTGATACCTGGTCTGCAACAGGTATTAAACTGATAAGAATAGTACTAAACACACCACTACTATCTGGTGGCACATTAGATTGCACGCGCAGTGCCCCTATGTAGGGGGAACAGTCTCTATTCCGCTCTTTGTCAGTGTGTATCAGGGGCTTTGAGGACAGGGAACAGTCTCTATTCTGCTCTGTGTCAGTGTGTATCATGGTCTCTGAGGACGGGGAACAGTCTCTATTCTGCTCTTGCATTTCTATTTCTTCTTAGATAACAAAAAAATTCTGAGACGACGTTGGCAGGGCTATTCACTTATGTGATCTGTCATGAATTGTCATTTGAATGTTAATTTGAACTGTGGGGCACAAGAACTTGAATCTGACAATTTTTATTTTATCAGAGAACTTGTTCGGGATACAGAAAGGAAAAAAGGGTGGGTAAGCGGTTAAGGTACATATGGTAGAGGGGGCAGCTATGTCAAGGGACTGCAGGCAGAATCATGAAAGGGTAGGGCTGTATATGAACATGGCACATGTCGGCAAGCTTCGCTTTTTAATAAACAGTTGGGTACTGGTTTTAATACCTTGGTTTGTGGTATTATTTCGGGGGTCAGCAGGTGCGATTTATGGTGATATGGCACTTTGCCGTGGTTCGGTTATTGACTTTGGTATTCTCTAGGCAATCCAGTCCATGGTTCCTGAAGTCCATCTTATTTGGTGCTTCAACTACATTAGTTCTGATGCCAACCAACATTCTAGGTCCCCAAGGTTACTGAGCCTGTACATCGGTCGTTAAACCGGATCCCTAATATCAAGTGTCCATTGAGTTAACCATCAGTACTGGAATGTACATGACTTCATTTCTGCACACCATGTCTACAACAATCCATGCTTGCAACATTGTTTGGAGAGTCTCTGGTTCTGCCCATGATTGGTTGTCTCTCTAATATTATCCATGGCCCTTGTTCTGTCCAACTCTATGGTTCTGCCCGTGGCCATGGTACCACTAGTGTGAGATGGGGGAAAACTCTAGTTCTCAACCCACTCCAAGTGCTGTTATTTATTTTAATTTGACAATTTTTATTTTTCCATATATAAAGTGGTAGGGGTACAGAAAGTAAAGAGGGGGGGGGGTCGGGGAAAAAGGGGAAAATTCCAATCATGACATTGCAGTTGTACAGCATTGTTCAACATTAAACAGGTCATTAGCATTGACAATCATGACATTGCATTTGTACAGTATTGCTTTATATCAAGCAGGTCATTGTGATGCTGTATTATGTACCGCCTTGTTGGTTGGATGGCGGAGGTTACCTAGTATACAATTTTTATTTTCCAAGGGTGAAGGTAGTGGTTACAGAAGAGAAATGTGGGGGTAGGGTGAGGTAAGTTGGTACAGTACACATTTCCATCATTCAGTTTATCCATCTTCACATGATACATCAATAGTTCAAACATTGTCGGGGGGTATTATCTATGCACCTCAGCCCAGAGGTGTCCCCATGTTTACCAGTCTGTTCCACACATGTTGTTGTACCTTTGAACTGTATGTTACTGTGTCGATGTGTGTTGATGGGGTTGGATGTGAGGTGGGGGGGCAGGTGCGAGCACTAAGGGGGGGGAGGGGTTAACCTATATACACTAGTGGGTTTAGTCTCATCTGTTTGTGATACATCTACCTGGTTTCTTTGGGTAAGGTTTGCTGTTCCTATTTGGTCCTATAGCACTTTTTCTCTCCTCACTTTTCCCCAGGGTATCCCTTCTCAGATTGCATGGGCTACTGTTCCCAAATTTTTCCTGCCTCTATAGTTGCCCCTCCCGTCTCAAGTTGTTGGGCCGCCATGTGCTCATATTCCCAATTCTTTTGGATCTGGGTAACTAGCTCGGTTTTTGTGGGGACTTTATGTGATTTCCAGTTTTTTGCTATGAGGTTACATGCAGATATTAACGTGTGAAATAGGAGTTTGGTATGAGCTTTGGTCATGCCCCCTGGCCAAATGTATAAGAGGCATATAGCCGGGGTCAGAATCAACTTCATAGGAAGCAGGTGGTCAACAATGGTGCCCACCATGGACCAGTAAGGTAGGATGTCTTTGCACGTCCACCATACATGTAATAGTGAGCCCTTGTCTAAATGACATCGCCAACATTGAGCAGATGTACCCGGGAACATGTGTGCTAGCCTTGTTGGGACCAAGTACCACCTGTATTGCAATTTTCTTATTTGTTCAAGTGTGTAATGCAGGCAGTGTTGCCTTTGTGAATTGAAAAGGCTTTGGACCACTGGTTCTCCGTAAAGGTGCTGCCCAGGTCTTTGTGCCATGCCTGTATGAAGTTGTCCTTGGTGCCGTGAGTGCCCTCAAGCAATGTGCCATATATTCTCGAGATGGCTTGTCTGTGTGGTTTGCCCGTGAGGCACCATGTGTCATAGCTTGAGATCATGGGTGTCGTAGGTGGGTTCGTGGGTTGCCGTAGGATAGACTTGAGCTGTAAGTATGAGAAAATCGCTTTATTCGGTACTTTGTACTGTGTTTGTATGTCCGGGAATTGTTTCAAGGATGTACCATTATATAGGTCGTATATGTGTGTGCACCCTGCAGTCGTCCAGGTCCGGTAATCGAATGTTTTGTTCCTCAGATATATACTATACATTGTCGATGCTAACGATGTGGCTCCTGAGCCGCTAAGGTGTGTTCTGTGTGTGTCCCATGTGTGCAGCATCAGTTTAGTGGTCTCTAGCATGTGTGGTGTTGTCGGCCTTAGGTGTTTTGGCACCCAAAATAAGTGGTGCATCCCGGCCCTGCATGCCCAGTGGGATTCAATATCAACCCATTGCGGTGGGTTTTCTGCCCTGTGTGCCGTGGCCAGCGTGGCTAAAATGGCAGCCTTGTAGTACAGTTTAACGTCTGGGAAGCTCATGCCCCAACTCCCAATTAGTCTTTTGATTGTGGAGTGTGCCACCCTGGGTGTTTTATTCGCCCATGTGAATCTCGTGATGGTTTTTTGTAGTTTGACCATATATTGCCTGGGGATGGGGATCTGCAGCGTGTGGAATAAATATTGTAGTTTTGGCAACAGTGACATTTTAAATGCCGCTATGCGCCCATGCCACGAGTAGAAGTCACTGTTCCATTGGTCTAACGTCTGAGTAATTTCCTGCAAGAGTTTCTCGTAATTGTATTTAAACATTTGGCAATTCGTCTTGGCTAGCTTGATCCCCAGAAATGTGATATAATCTTCCCTCCAGTCAAAGTTAAAGGATTCCGTCAGTGTTTGTAGGGTACGCCCTGGTAGGTGAATTCCCATCGCCTGTGTTTTTGTGAGATTAAGTTTGTAGTAGGATACTTTGTTATAGTCTTGTATGCACTGTAGTAGGTTCGGTAGGGATATTAGCGGTTGCGTCAGGGTCAAGAGTATGTCGTCCGCGAAGAGGTTGAGAGTGTACTCCCTGTCCCCCACTTGGACCCCGTGGATATCAGGGTGAGCTCTGATCACTGCAGCCAGAGGCTCCAGTGCCAGTACGTATAGCAGGGGGGACAGGGGGCACCCCTGTCTCGTTCCGTTGGTGATGACTATCTTTTTTGACACAAAACCTGAATTAAGGACCTGAGCTCTGGGTGCCGAATAGAGTGCTCTGACTACAAAATGAAGCCCTCCGGTATCCCATACCTCTTTAGGGCCGCCTCCAGGAATCCCCATCCCAGCCGGTCGAAGGCTTTTTCTGCGTCCAATGAGAGCAGAACCCCCCCTTCCCGTGTCGCCCCTAGGCTTTGCATGAGGTCAAGGACTTTTCTGGTGTTGTCTGCCCCCTGGCGCCCCGTCACGAATCCCACCTGATCATCATGTATAATGTGTGGTAGTATCGGACCCAGTCGAATAGCGTACAGTTTAGCCAGTATTTTGGTGTCAGTGTTGAGGAGGGATATGGGTCTAAAGTTTTGAGGGTAGGTTGGAGGTTTGCCCGGCTTGGGCAGAGTGATAATGTGGGCTAGCTGCATCTCCCCCGGTAGGGTTTGTGATCGTGCGGCTTCGTTAAAAACCTCTGCTAGGCAGGGGGCCAGTATATCTCTAAACTTGCTGTAATAAGAGTTGGCAAAGCCATCTGGGCCCGGGGCCTTGCCCCTTGGCAGCGTCTGTATGGTATCCCTTACCTCCTCTGGGGTGACTGGTCGGGTGAGTGTTTCTTTCTGTTGAGTTGTCAGGGTCGGAAGGTTGAGTTTGTTTAGGTAAGTCTCTATCTCGGTATCTGTCGGGGTGGTTATGGTTGCGTCATTACGGAGGTTGTACAGGTCTCCATAGTATTGTGCAAACTCGTCGCTAATAGAGAGCGGCGACAAACTTTCCCCCCTGCTTTTGTGTGTAGGAATGCTATCTTCTGTGACTGCTGTCGCTTTTTTAACCTCGATGCCAGCAGTTTACCAGCTCTATTCCCCTGGGAGTAATGTGCTGTTATTTATTTTAATTTTTTTTGGTGAGGCTTTACAGGACAGAGTGCTTCTCTACGGGACATGTTAACTCACGGGCAGCTGGCTCATCAAGGAACTAGAGCAGCTTTCCATGTACAGGTAAGACACGTGCAGCCGGTAAGGGTTCAGGCTCTTCTTCCTGGAGGATACGCTGCAAGACACAAGCATTGTAAGTCTATTTAGAGTTGATGGATAAAGCAAATACAAAGAACAGTATTTATTGATCAATGCAGACACCTTATATCTTTGTTTAAGCTGCTGATCCCAAAGAGCCAGTCATTTCCAACTTCCTATTGGATTATATTCAAAGACTAAATGAACGTTAAGCAAGCTTGCGGCCTACAAGAACTTGAACTGGGGTTAGGCGGCCACTTTCCCTGCACTACAGATCATAGCGTCGACTTACGCTAGCCCCCATCAGACCAGTGGGGGTCATCCCTGACCCGGCTGGGCAATGGCACATTGATATTCTGAACCACAGATCACCCCTAAAGATTGTCGGTGGGCGAGGAGTGGCAGTGTCCTAGATGGTGGACGACCCTGCTCATGTTACTCAAGGCAGGATGAGGCACTAAGCTGACCTGAAGTACTTACACAGTCAAATAATGGCTAATCTGGAGGAAGCCTTTGACTGTTTTTGGGACAAATGTTGTAGCCTGTTGAACGAGGTGACCTTGCTCGGGTCCCAGGTGTACGGTTCCTAAAATGGCTGCCATATACACTTCCACTGATAGGAGACGTGGAAGGTATTAAACTGATCAGAACAATACTAAACACACCACTCCTATCTTGTGGCACATTAGATTGCCCACTTGTATGCTTTGTTCTGTGGACTCACGTCATCCTTAATGAGGCGTTCTCTCATTTGGTCAGTTTTAGACTCGGGATAGTAACATGTAGAGTAATCAGTCGCCAGCCATGAAAGTAGAATAATGCCTGGAGAATCATCTTCATCTATAAATTTGACGATTGCAAATGTATTTGCTTCTGCCATATCCAACTTTCACAGAAAAGTAACTCACTCTTATGAAAAAAATAAGATAAAGTATACACAAAATAAATGATGAAAGTAATATTATATATCATGTACCCTTGCCTTCATTAAAAATGCAGTTAAGAAATGAATGAAATTACATAAACTGGATAGATTAATAAAACTTGCAGATTAGCCACTTCCATGCCATGTAATGGAAGGGGTTAATGCCCCCAGAGTGTCAGGCGTGTATTTTAAACACAGGACAGCCCCTTGATTGAAATGCGTCCTTCCATGTTTCCAGTCAGGCCCTGCCCCACCAGCCGTGTTGATTTTTAATGAGTTGAGGGATCTCTTCCCTTCACCTTAGCCAGACGGCTGGAGACCATACAGTGCAGCCTTATTGCGGCCAAAGGCAGGCGAAATACTGCTTAAATAGCAGTACTGAGCTTTAGTCAACCTCACCTCTGATACGGTTTAAGATCCTTTCGCCTGCCATTTGGGTGACCTTGCTCGGGTCCCAGGTGTGCAGTTCCTAAAATGGCTGCCATATACACGTCCACTGATAGGAGACGCGAAAGGTATTAAACTGATCAGAACAATACTAAACACACCACTCCTATCTG